ATTACGTTTTAAACGTTTTTTAAATTAGCCAAAATTATTACCATATTTGGTAAAATTGACTTAATATACACAATCAGATTACTTAAATTACTCTGTAGATATATGCTGTTAATATTATAAAAAAAAATTAACGAAAATCATATAAATTTTTTTAAATTTTTTTACAGATTATACATATTCAGTGTTTCAAGATTGAAGTATTCGAACTGTTTGGTAGACAAGGAGTTTACTACCAAAGGTTGTACTGGCCATCAAGAATATTGCATAAGTAAAAAGTTATGTGAATAAATTAAAGAGAATCTTTTGGTACAAGGAACAAACGAAGACGTCGACGACGAAATAAATAATATTTTTAGATAGAAATAGGTTATTTTTGATTGCCTTGTTATAAATTACGTATATTAGAGCGTATTCATGCCGTACATTTAATTTATCACCTAAATATTAATAACAAAGTCTCCCTTTTACTCTACAAGGGATTGTAATAAAATTGTTCGAAGCCATTCGACAGAAACGTAAATTGAAAACACGTCACGAGCACGCGTCGCTTAATTTCATCGTAAATTTGAAGGGAGTTTTATTTTTATCCATTTCATATTATTACAAATTAATTTCGACTTTCTTATGTTTTTCGGTGATAATTAGATTTTTTTAAATCAATCGGAAATAATAACGCCTGTGTTCCTGTTTGAAAATAAATCAATAAAATAAAAAATGTAACTTAAATAAAACTGGTGTTATATTTAAACTTTTTTAATTAAGTTAAATATAAATTTAAATTCATATTATTGTTATTTTAGCCAATTCTTGTAATAAAAATAACAAACTTGTTACCAACATTTCGTGTAATTGTGTAAACTTTTAAAACAAAATAGCAAACAGTAAGTTGTGCGGAAATTCTAAACTACTTTTGGACCCCACAATTCCCGTAGCACAAAGTTGTATGTGACAGTTAAGTTAGAGATAATAATAACTTTGTTTATGTGTATGTTGTTTGACCTTTTATTCCTAAGTATTTCTTTATAATTCTTATATACAGGATGTCCGGAAAAGAGATTTATAACGAAAGACAGATTCTTCGGTCAAAATGACTTACATCATTAAAGTTGTTTAATCTTTGGGCTGTAATCCTTCTAAGTTTATAAAACTGTATGAAAATAAGCTATAGAAAATTGTACTATAGAGTGGGCTAAATATATTCCAAAATATTGTTGTCACTTTATAAAATGACTAGTAAGATAACAGACGGCCTAAATTCGCAATTGTTTAGTGACATGTAGAACTTCAAAGTCAGTATTCTATTATATTAAAAACGATTTCATATGTCGAACTTCATAAAACTTTTGTACCAAACTTTAACTAACTTCGAGTAACTTTCATTTCCAAGTTAAGTTTTCTTTATAAACAAGTTTGAGATTTCACGATCCACCTATTTCCTATTGTTAGAGTACTCTGTGAGATTTTTGTGAAAAGATTTTCGTTGCAGAAATTTTAATTTATTTACTAGTCGTCTTTGACTTCGTCCACCCGGTAATATGCCCGCGTGCATCACCTACACTCCAGTTCCGTCAAAATCGGTCAGGAAGCCTAATTTTAGTCCTCTTTCCCTTTCCATCCTTTTCTTATAAGGTAAGGGAATGCGGATTTGATGGAGGAGGAGACTCATAGGAAGAGGAAATATCCTCTTTCTGTACGTTTCCTCCTCCATCGATTAACGCATCTGGAATTGTGAATATCTAAAGGTCGCTTCGCCATAAAGACAATCTACAATTTCTATGGTGTTATGAGTCACTTCTGACGATCCTGTTCTTTGCCTTTAATCAAAATTAAAAACAAATAAAAAGTAATAACTATTAATATAAATAAAACGAATATAAAAAAAGTGTTCACAACATTTTATTGCACAGTGTAACATTTGTATAGAGGTGTATCAACATTTCGAACCTCAGAAACTATTGCACCAGACTGTACATCAAACATAACAACACATTCAAAACTTACATATTTACAACAAGCAATCTACACTTTTATTCTAAAAGAACACGACCGTACCATATAAAAACTATTTTGGCTTTACACTGAGAATGGTTTTGTAAATTACATGAAGTATTATAATATTCAAACTTTATGAATGCTCACAGTTAGCTGCAAACGTATGTTTGAAAGTGGTAGTAATCGCACAGGAGGCTGGTCAAAGTAACATTCGATAAATGATGTTGCTAATTGAATAGTCAAAAATGTATGGAAGTGACGTACACGTCACGTAAATACGTCACGTGCACGCCACGTATTTTTTCTATACATTTTGACACATTTTGTCAATTTTACTAGAAATAGCGTTAATTGAACATTACATTGTCTAGACCTGCAGCGGTATTTTGCCCTTATAACATCCAGCCGAAGTCTAAAACAGTGTAAATTACTAGCTTCCATAAAGTTTGGATGACACTGTACTAAAATGTTTTTTATTACAACAAAGACTTTCATCTTCACAACGACAAAACATCACGCCTAGCAAACAGAAGGTAGGCAGATACGCTGTACAATACATACAAATTCAACATTTTGGAAGCGCCAATAGCTTAATGGTTACGGGTACGGACTAATCTTGTGGTCTTAGTTTCGAATCCCATCGTTTGGTTATTACGTATACCAAATTCAAGCACAATCTTTAAGCTTATTTGGAATGGTTATTAGCAAAATTAACGAAGAATAGACTTAACAACAATAATAAATTGTAAAGATATCTTTATTGTTAAAATTCATTGTCTAAGGGAATTAATACTATAATTACATAATAAAATATTATCTATAAAATATAAGATATGGTGTGAAATTATAATCTAAAATCTACAATATAGGAAGCACAAATATATGCACAACACAGAGTTACCGTGAGTTTACACTGTCGAAAAAAGTGTATAAAAACATTTTGTCATGTCTATTAATTCAAAGATGACAATATGTTTTTGTATAAGTATATCCGTCGTGGAATCCCACTGTTAGATTACATCAAAATAAATTTATTACATTAAACAATACGTAATTTATATAAAAGTTTATACAGAGTGTTCTTATAAACTAAAGAATTGATTTATTTTAAAAGTCAAATACAAATTTAAAATGAAATTTAAAGTTTGTTATAAATACATTATGTGCTGTTACTATTAATTTAACGTTTTGATAAGTAATAATTTAGCAGTTGCCCGCGATTTTGGCCGCGCGCAACATAAAGCGAATGTTTATATCGATGGATGTTTGTTTGAACGTATCTCCAGATTGATTGCACGGATTTTACGGAAATTTGACGTAGATGTTGAACACAGTCTGAAAGAATACATAGGATTCTAATGAAGTTTTTTTTTTAATTAAGCGCGGACAGAGTCGCCGGCTACAGCTAATCTAGTAATAAACGTATCCTATGTCACCAAGGGATTGTTACGAATTAGTCGTTTTGGAGTCTATTCAATGCGAACAATCAATAAAACCTCTTTATAATATTAGTATAGTTAATTCAATTATTTTCTTGTGTGTGTTAATTATTCAAGTATTTAGAGATTAAATAAATTTAACTACGTCCATAGTCAAAAGTATAAAATACCCTGATCCATTGCTCTGTTTCTTTATATATATAACTTTTAATTAACATAACAATAGTATTTATTAAAAGTAATCAATTAATTCCAACGTTCTTACGGTGAAGGAAAACATCGTGATGCAACCTGCACATATCTGAGAAGAAATTCAAAGATAGGTATGAAGTCAACCAAACAGCACTTGGCCAGCGTGGTTGACTATAGCCTATTTACCCCTAACTTAGGGTAGGCTCCGAGCCTCTCATTGGGAACATATAGAGAGCTGATGATGAGATGAAATATTTAATTTAAGTAAAATACTTAATTATTACAAATAATTAAGATTTAAAGTTAAAAAAGTGTCCTGAGACTTTCAACCTAAAAATCCTTAACAAAGAATGATATTTTTTGGTTAAAATTTATATAAAACAGAAACAGAACATTGGGTACATAATACGGTATATAAACGCATAAAGCTCAAGTTTCTCTCAAGAAGTTATATAGCGAAGTATATAAAGCTCAGACTTAAGTCATTTACAATATGATAAAACTATGATATATAAATTTTACTAAGCACATATAAAACATGGTTTTACGTCCGCATAGTAAATATTATATAACACGATACGTCTTTGAGAATATGAATAATATCTTATTTTATAACAAGGATAAAAATTAACTATACAAAAAGAAATAGGTTTGTTATTCTTTGTCTATTTTACTTTCACTTTAAAAATATTATTTAGTTTACTTATATAAAAACGGCTAAACACTCACGTATATTCGTCCGGTGGCGGCACCGACTAGTTTCAAGCCCATCGGGGGCACTTCATCAGGGTGAGTGGGACTGGTATTATTTTGCGTCGCTCGCTCACTGCACGCTTGCGCTCTTAGGGCGCGTCTTGAGGGTGCTGGGGGCGCGCTGTGCGCCGGCGTCTTCGACGATGTTGATACTAAAGCGTCGGTGCTGTTCAATTTTTCACTTGAGTGTTTAGCCGTTTTTATATAAGTTTATTATAATGTCTCACGAAAGTTTGAATAATTATTGAGTATTGTATTTATAATAGAAATATAAACTATTTTTTAAATGTAATAAATGTGCGTAATCTTCAAATTATTCAATAGATTTGCTTGATTTAACTTTCTTACCGTTGATTTCTAAAACGAACTATGTATAAAACATATCGTCATCCGTGTCATCATCTTTGAAACGAAGATAATAATATGTTTTGAACTGAGTTTTTGGTCTCAGAAATCTACAGTTACTTAATTAAACTCATAATTACTTAGTGAGTAATAACTACTTAATAACTTAGTTAAGTGTGCGTGTAAACTATTAACATTTAATTAAAATAACATTCAGAGAAAAATCATTTGAAATAGTTTAATTTCTTACATAACAAAAAAAATAGTCGCAACAAACATATTAAGCGTAAACATGTCATAACTTACATAGTACATTAAAATCTTAAAGATCTTTCTTTCGAAAACAACGACCAGAATTTAACATTAAAACTTTTCCACCACGCGTTAACGTGTCCGGAATCGGAATGGAAATGCTAAGCAACCGCACATCTATTCTCGTGTGTTCCCCCACTGCCCCCCGCTGTGGAATCAGGGGGAGGCTCAGCACTACGACCTCCTCCACTCCACTCCAAAGCATCTATCATTTCCATGAGTTCTTTAAACACAGCTATAACCCGCCAATTATATTTCGCGGAGCATTCAACGTAACCGCACTTCCAATGTTTTCTAACAAGATTTACAATATTACGTCTCTTTTCTCTTGAATCACCACATGCACTTTCCGCCATTGCCAATTGCTGCAACCCTGTTACCGCTGAAGGTGTGTTACTGCACAACAAATCCTGTTTATTCCCAACAACTAAGACAGGTACATTCCTCATGTCACGACTTTCAACCATTTGGTCTCGTAGCGTTCTAATATATTGAAAAGTTTCTACGTTCGACAAATCGAAGACAAGAATGTAGGCCGTAGCATTTCGTAGACCGTAGAAACGGTAATGTGCCCATTCGTAGTAGGAATTTATTGGGAAATAAGGTATTACGGGTACGTCGGTTATTTTCACTTCGTACAAATGTTCGTTGATGATGACTGAGGGGTAGAAAGTATGCTTGCGGTCAGTCGGTACGTATTCTTCTGAGAAGTCGCTCCATACGAATTGCTACTGGATAAATGTTGTGATTAGTTTTTTTCTTTTATATTATTAATACTCATACTTTACTCTAGTATATTAAATCTATATAAATAATTAATTAAAGGGTAAATATGCACTTAGTTAGAGTGTCTACACTAACTAATGTTCTACGAATATTTTTTACACACGATCGTAGGATTTATTTTTACTGAATTAACTGATGAAATATATTCATATATCACTACGAAGACTCAGTTCGTACCTGAATAATACTAGTTTTGCCGACAGCAGGTGCACCTAGGAGTACGACCTTGACAAGGTCGAGATTATCAGGGCTGGGCTCTACGCTCGGCGCCCCGGTCACTGTCAGCGTGCCGCCACCCCGCTCCAAGTAGTCCAGGTCCAACTCTGAAATAGAACATAATTATAATGTCATAGGCTTTGACGTAGACATAGCCGTAGATGGAAACGTAGACAAGAGTTAAACGTAGAGGTAAATGTTGTAGATGGAGATGGTCGCAGTGTAGTTCTTAAAAGAAAGCTGCCTGTTCTTGTTTTGAATTTCGTTATCTTCCCGCGCTTGTATGTAAAATATTACTTTAACTTAATAAAAAAGATTTTAAAAACATCCTGTAGGTCTTAAAGAATACTCATTTCTATTTAAATCATAAAATTATTTTAGTAACAATTCACCTAAGTTGAAGCAACTCTACAAACAAAATTGTACCCAACTTTACTTTACAATAAAACAAAGTTAATGGACTTATAAATATTCATAGGAGTTACTAAATTAGAAAACTCATTTCCTTCCTTATTTTGTAAATATCGTAAGAGAGAAGTGTTGGGACTCATACATGAATAATACCCGCATAGTTCAATGTAATATTTAAATTTGATTAAATTCCGATACCGTAGGCATTTGAGGTATTTATAATACTTAAATGACAAAAATTGCTGATATTTTTTTAGGAAAATTTGGTATTTGTCAAAAGGAAATACATTTAAATAGAAACAATAACTTTATTTTCGAAAAACTAATCAAAATATAACGAATATAATCTTACTAATATTATAAATGCAAATGTTTGGATGGATGTTTGTTTGTCTGGCATCTTTAAAACGGCTGAACGGATCTCTTTGAAATTTAGCATAGTTGTAGAACATAGTCTATTACAATACATAGGTTACAAATTAAGTTTATTGTTAATTCCGCGCGGACAGAGTCGCGGGCGACAGCTAGTAGGTAATATATAACCTTATATTTTAATTTTAAATATAAATTATCTAAGTCATATTAAAATTAATTGTTCATTTAAATAATCGTAATTCTTTTTAATTGCGCAACGCTTAATCTGTTTCTCCATTTACCTGGCTGAATAATTTATTCGCGTTTGCCTTCGTTAAGGTTTAAACAAAGATAGAATGGAGTTTCATAATGATTAGTGTCCGGAACGCTTTCAACCCCTTTTACAGCTTGTTAATTAATTCTTTCATTATTTAGTTAAGTAATTTATACGTTTTGGAAAAAATAATATTATAATGAGAACCCAGCTTAATATCATTAAATAAATTTTTAAGTATAATTTCATATTTTTACATTTATTTAAAGTACTTTCTTTCTGAAAATTTACGCGATTAATTCTCAACTCTAAAGCTTCATTTTATAATACTTTTTAATATAATAAAACAATACATATTTACAGTCGATTAATATTCCGAGGCTTCCCTTATAGGTACTAAATGTCGTAGGCCTAGCCGTAGATGGAAACGTAGACAAGAGTTAACCGTAGAGGTAGACGACACACAACAACAAACAAATTGGAATTACGGTAAAGGTAAACGCTTCAAATTCCTCCACTCATCCACTCGGCACCCCTACACCACGCGCGCTGCCGTGCCGTTCCTTGCTCGTCATCAACACGAGGATGGCGCGCTGTCCACCCGTGCAAGGGAGATAGAGATAAAATTATACTTATTCTATATCTTTACCTCACTCTATAGGCAGTGTCGAGGTAGTAACGAGAGGACGCCGCGACGATAGCGTGACAGGACGCTACCAGGTGGGCCAGGAGTTGTTCAGTCGGCTAACGCTTTTAATCTATTTAAGACTTATTTGATTATCGTCTTCATTGCAAGAATTAATACGGAACTTCTATCACTAGAAGGCTTTTGTTTCTTTGTTAAACACGACGTCTAAGCCATACTTGGCAGCCATCCAATAACTTCGTGGCAATTTAGTTTTCAAATCGGAACTAGGACCGGAATACTCGACCGATATTCGTTCAAATCGCTTACTAAGAATCTTTAATCCAACGAAAGAGCAACATAGCAATAACTTTAACGGTGAATGAAAATATCAAGATGCAAATTTCATCATCATCATCAGCTCACTATACGTCCCCACCGAGGCTCTCGGAGCCTACCCTAATTTAAGGGTGATTAGGCCATAGTCAACCACGCTGGCCAAGTGCGGGTTGGTTGACTTCACACATATCTTTGAATTTCTTCTCAGATATGTGCAGGTTGCAACCTGCACATATCTGAGAAGAAATCGTGATGCATCACGATGTTTTCCTTCACCGTAAGAACGTGGGATAAATGTACATATGTATCACCTATCACTTAGGGTAGGTTTGAGTTCCTAAGTGGAGACTTGTATAAGTTGTGAAAGAAATACTTTAACAGAAACAAGACTTCTATTCAAAGTTTTAGATAATACGAGCACATCCAATTTAGAAGAAAATATTAAACTATTTGGAATAGGGATAAAATATTATTTTCTTCTCAAAGTAGACAAATATAACACTCAGAGATTTATTTCTCTGACTCGATCGTTTTTTATCCTTTGTAATATAAGATCAACTTATTTGTTCCCTGACTTTGTTTTCGTATCCTGGTTTTGATGCGATAACGGAAAAACAACGTAATAAATGTACAACCGTATATTTCCAATATTGGAAAACTTGCATTAGTAACCTCATCTTACTAATATTATATATATTAATGCGAATGTTTGGATGTATGAATGGATGTTTTTTGGAAGGTATCAAAGAACGGCTGCATCTCGCTGAAATTTGTCATAGATGTAGAAATTAGCTTTAAAGAGAACTACTACTAGTTATGTTTTTTTTATCCCACGCGAAGTCGCGGGTTTCAGCTAGTAATATATAATTTCAGTTAGGTCCAATAGATTTCGTTAGAAGCTCATTTTATTTTTCTATTTAAGAAGTATGTTATAAAATTCGAAAATATTCTTGATTTTTGCTGCAAAATGTTTCACTTATGTTGGATGGTAGCCAAACATCGGAAACCTAAGATGGTCAATCTGAAAAGATTTCCTTAAAATTTGTGCCATACAAAAAGAAAACTGTAAAACCACAAGATGTTAAAAATAATCTTCAACATTCATTACTAACATTTACTTTACTAAATACCAAATATTAACCTCTTATTTAAAACAACACAACTATATTACTCCTATCCAAACAGTCTAAAGGGAACAAACCCAATAATCGATCCGAAAATTTAAGCCAATAAATATTTTAATTGCTTTACCCAAGGGTTTTGTTATTTATGTGAAAATCAATCATGAAAATGTATCTGGTTAAACATAAATCTGTTGAATATGTTGATAAAAATGATACCGCCGCTTTTTTAAAATTTTAAATAACCTTTTTTTTATATCATAAGGTGACAAACGAGCGAGTGCCCACCTGAAATCGCTGAAATAGCGAAGCGACCGCTGCCCATAAACATACGCAATTGCATATGCGTTGCCTACCTTCAATCGACGGAGGAGAGGATGCATAGAAAGAAAATATCTTCCCTTCCTATGCATCCTCATGCGGAAAAACCACTTCCACTTCCTATCCTTTCCTTATAAGAAAAAGGGTGGGTAGGGAAAGAGGACTAAATTAGGCCTCCGGGACGCACACTCATCAGACGAAACGCGGAATTGCTTCCACTTGACGCCTGTCTTCTGTGTGGTCGTGATATTTCACCGGGCGAGCCGGGCCAATTCGTGCGAAGATGTTAAAGCGAGCTCTACCGCTGTTAAAAAACACATGAAAGCACAAATTTGATGAATTTATTAATGTAAGTAAATTTTTTTCAAGTAAAATGTTCTAAAGTTTTTTCAATGCTTAACTTCGTAGACGCTTCGTAGACACTACGGGACATAAAATCTATTTGGCAGTCGGCCAAGCGTTACACTTCACTGGTTTGTGAATAACAGATCACGAACGATATCTCTTAATTGGAAGCTAATCAAGAAAGTGCTTGCATTTGTGTTAATACACAATGACGTCACACATTCGTTTTTTTTGAAATAAGGATAGCAATATTTGTCGAGAGCTTCGGTGGCTAAGGGGTCAAGCACTTGACTTGCAATCTGCAGGTCCCGGGTTGGAATCTCGCCATGTACCAATGTGTTTTTCGACGTTCTTACGGTGAAGGAAAACATCGTGATGCAACCTGCACATATCTGAGTAGAAATTCAATGATATGTGTGAAGTTAACCAACTCGCACTTGCCCAGCATGGTTGACTATGGCCTAATGACCCGTAACTTAGGGTAGGCTCCGAGCCCCTCGGTGGGGACGTATAGTGAGCTGATGATGAGTAATATTTGTCAATACAAGTGTAATAAGAGTGTTTTATAGTTACGGTAAAATAGTTATTTATTTTTATCATAAGACTGAAAATTAACGATAAGTTTAATGCGAACTTGTTAAAAGTTTTGGATTTCCACTGCCGAAACACATGTTAAAAATATCATGCCCCACATTGTATTTAAATTAAAAATAATAACAACATGTTGTAGATTTATAATTCCTGTACAAACAGAAGAAACAAAAGTTAAATGTAATCTAGGTTTGTTACGGAATTGTTTACTTTTGGTCATAACCATAAATATAAAAAATTACTTATAAAAACCAAGAAAGTTCATTATCATCATCTCCTTTGGCTGTCCACATCTAAACATAGGCCTTCTCCAATGCCTTCCAGTAAAGTAAGCGTTACAGTTCACTGGATTGTAAACACAGTTGTACGTTATACTTACCCAAAACTTTCGTTTGCTTAGTGCAGTTAGATTTCGCATTCTTATCACTGTCTTTATCATTTTTTGTTGTATTATCAAATTTGTTCATTTTGTTAAACTAACATTTATACCATCCTTACACATAATTGAATAACTTAAGTTATATTTAAGTTAGTAATTCAAAGTTGTAAACAAAATTTTAAAAGTACAAAACACTTAATTGATCAATCACATAACACTAAATTAATAACTTATAAACAACTTTATCTTGTAACCTTTAATTTAATTGATATTATCGGATTTTTTTTTATATTCAAGAGCAACACGTCCGCCCAGTTCCACCGACTGAGATAAACTGACGCCAGGTT